CCAACCCTATTAAGTATATCTTGCTTCTTCAAGAAGTGTAGATAACACTTTCTTAACACACATCTTAAAAAAAACTAATTTTAGCTTTACCAGGACATCTTTGCACCTTTTGTCTCTTCTTAGTCATTTGATGTTCCATAAGAAACTAAAAATCTTGGTTGTATTTATGGATTAATTTTATAGGGGAAGGAAGAGCCCAATGTCACTATGGTGAAAAGTTTAATATGATTCTTGGAAGGATACATATTGCTCTCCCAGAAACTGGATAAAGTCATATAAGGTCTGGAGCATTTACTGTATTTTTTCTCTCTAATATTACACTCTTTTCAACAATAGCGATAACAATAGCATTTAGACTTGTATACCGCTTCACAGTGCTTTATAGCCCTCTCTAAGCGGTTTTACAGAGTCAGCATATTGCCCCCAACAATCTGGGATCCTCATTTTACTGATCTCAGAAGGATGGAAGGCTGAGTCAACCTTGATCCGGTGAGAATCAAACTGCTGAACTATAGTCAGCTGGCAGTCAGCAGAAGTAGCCTGCAATACTGCATTCTAACCACTGCACCATCACAGCTCATCAACCATCTCATCAATGGTCATCACTCCTTTTCCAGAAAGAACATTTGCAAGATGGTTCTACTACTCTATGCAATGCTGAAAGTGACTACATTTTAACTTGCAGTTTCTTCTGATCATAATTTACATCTTAATGACAGAATCTGGAATTATTTGTAGTCACATCTCAAAAGTGGTAACAGAGATAATAGAACAAGCCAGACTCCTTGAGCTTCCAAAGGAGGCACTCTCTTCATATTCTATCAGGCACCCTTGAAGAAAACAGATGAAGGCAATAAAAGTCTGGAGGAATCATTAGGAAAACTTGGAATGTTGGATGAACTCCCGTGGAAACAATTAGGTCCCTTTGTAGTTCATCAATGTGCCCCAGGTGACTAAGTCATCAGGAATCATTTTGGGGTGATATATTAGAAAACTAGTATGGGAATCAGTTTGTTTTACTTATCATATGTTGTGTTTCTTTTCAGTTTGTACCACCAAACTTTTCATGCTCAAAATATCCTGCTGCATTCATACAGCAGGTTTCTTCTGATATTATCATTGCCACCTGCACCATCACCAGCTGCTTCATTTGTTTCACCTTCTTTCAGTTCTCCTCACTGATACTCAACCACAATGATCCAGAGTCTGTTTCCTTTTTCACCCAGACCTCTTATTTTTGCCTCCTTTTTTTTTTCTGCACCAAAAAAATATACATGCTTCATTTTCTTTTCCAACAGATGAAGAAAATTTAACCACCTTATGAAGGGCTTTTGCTTCTTTCCTTCTCTCTCAGAAAGCAAGTAATAGGAAACCCCACCCTGAATTGCTTGTATCAGTGACATTATTCATTGAAACTTCTGCAGCACCCCACACACAAAGGCACCATAAAAGGGCAATAAGGCCAGATGCAGAAATGCTACATCTCTTGCTGTACAGCTCAACTGTTCTGCCTCTCCCTTCTGTTATCTCCTGCCTCATGCAAGGAACCATCGCCACCTAAAACTGGTCTTGTGCAACAGTTCTAACAACTTTCCTCACCCATGCTCAGATCTCCTCTACTTCAGGTCATTGTGTGATCTTCCAGATTTCCAAGCCTCCTACTCCCCACCAATTTACCAGCCCCAATTTTCCAGATATGTACAAAGTCAGGTGGAGTGGAGAACTTCACTACTCAGCAGAGGTTTAGGATAAGTTGTCCTGTATTCAACCCAGGGGCTCTGCCTCCAGATAAAATGTCTTGAGCCCTTGATTTGAGTATCAGTGAGCATATTTCTTCTTAAACCATTATCCTATCCCATTGCTTGCAATAGCAAAGCATTATTAAAATTAATTTATACCTAAAAATATATGTGCAAAACTTATTGCACTATGATCCCACAAAAAATCTGGACAATATCTGCAAAGGCAAATGCAAGATTTTAGTTCAATGAGTAAGGTTCAGACAAGTTATGTTTGTTTGGTTCTATAGGCATAGGCATGTATCAGTATGCCCTTGAACTCTTTCCTCAGGGTTAAAAAACTTGCCCTACTCAGAAGTTTTGGTCTGAAACATGACTAAGCTAACCTGTGTTTAGATGATAGGTGGGATAATTTTTTTTGTTAAAGGACTCATTCTCAAGGTCACACATTGTGGGCACAAGCAATTGCCAGCGAAAGTAAGGCAAGTGATGAGTAAAACCTGAATCCAAGGTGGCATTCATTGTTTCTTTGGCATATACCCTTTTCTCTCTCATTCTTTCATTTTCCAACATCTTCCTCCTTTCTCTCCCAAAGAGATGCCAGTTACAAAAAAGACTGACAGCTCTTAACAGAGAGTCAATCTTTCGTGGTATGGAAATCTTTGGAAATCAGACCAAAGCTTTAATCCCAGGTTGCCAACTTTGATTTAAATTGTGTCTTTGATGGTCTAAGTAACTGTTTATCATTCAACGAGGGGAATCTCAGGTAGAAGAGGTTAGATAGAAATGCAATTAAACTCATATTTCAGAATTGTGGCAGCATGAGATCTGGAAAAATCTCATTATAAAACAGGATTTTAACCATTTCACCTAGAAGTCATACCCTGTTTAAAGTTTCCCAATTATGTTTCATATTTCTACCATAGTAATTTTAAATTTTTCATGAAGAAGAGTATTCAGAACACTAATTACACTAATTAATTACATTAAATAATTAATTCCACAGTGAGTAGATACTTCTAGATTCCAAATCAGTAGAGCTCCATTATTTGTTTGCTGTCTGGAGCAACCAAAGCGTAAAATTAGTTGTGTGATGTCAATTTTCACAGTGAATACATCACTTTATCCATGAAATCACTGGATAATATTAAGTAGACAATCTGTCTATAACATGGCACTATTAGGGATCTACACTGCAGGATAATGGTTAGATAGTTGAGATAAGTCATACATGGACAATGTGTTAAAAGTACAGGTAGTTCTCAACTTATGACTGTAATGGAGCCTGCCCATTAGTAATAAACTGTGAGAGTCATAAAATGGGTCATCATGTGACCAACTCAATTTTACGACTTTTTTTGTAGCAGTCATTAGGGGAATCACCATGGTTGTTACATGAATCTGCAATCGTTAAGCAAACCCATTGCTTACTATGGGGCACTTTTGCTGGAAACCAGAATACCTGTTTTCAGCAAAAACATTGCAAGTTATAGTTATGTGTCTGTGGGGCACTGTAAAGAGCTATAAATGCGGGCTGGTTGCTGAGTGCCCATGAGACTGGGAGGGGGTGACCATCAGAACTAGGTTGTAGGTATCCAAGGGGAGGCAGTCCATCAGCACTTTGAACTGTCACTAAACAAGCAATTGTAAGTCACAGACTACCTTTACTTATTTCTATGAGCTAAAATTTAGGCCTTGTGCCTGCAATCCTACTGTAACTGACATGTCAAACTGGAATTAATCACATGCATAATTTCCATACACTCTAAATGTATCCAGTACTGGAGAGGAACAACTGAGCCCTTCAGAGGATCTGAGGAGCTGTTGTAATTATTGGCATCCTATTCAATACTGCCGTAAAGTGGAAAAAGCAGCACAGTGTGAACTATCAGTGGGCACACAGGCATTGAAGATAACAAAGTACTGATACAGGGCTTCATGTCACACACATCAAACTCTTTGCTTCACTACTGCACAGAATACAGCACCAACTGGTGGTGCCGCACAGAAAAAAGAAAAGCACTCAAGAGTATTTTCTCCTTTTTTTCCTCTAACAATCTGGCCAGGAACTATACCAAGGTAGAGAAGAAACAGTGTTTGCCTCAAACCTGGTAGCTGGCACTGATGTTTTGAAGAATGATGGCCTGTCAACATAGACAATGCTGATGTGGCTGGATCAGTGGTCTGATCAAATATGAAGAATCTCTATATTCAGCGATTTTACTTAGCTAGTGCACGCTAATCACTGTGAGGATGTCCTTGAGGATCTAGTAAGTTATTTTAGTACACAAAAAGTAATGAGATAAAAGAATCTAGAGCCATGGCAGCGAACCTGTGGCACGCGTAGCCATATCGGTGGGCACGCAAGCTCAGCTCCAACGCACATGCGCATACCGGCTAGTTGATTTTCGGGCCTTCTGGGCCCACCAGAAGTAGGAAAATAGGCTGATTCCTGCCTCCGGAGGGTTTTGGGGGGGGGAGAGGCCCGTTTTTCTCTCTCCCCAGCCTCCAGGGTCTTTCTAGGAGTCTGGGAGGGCAACGCCCTGGAGGCCGAAAATGGCCCATTTGCCAACTTCCGGTGCGACCGCAAATGGCAAAAAGGTTAGCCATCACTGATCTAGAGTGACCAGGATTCAGAACTGAAATAAACTTCAGTTCAAAGTTTGTATTTATCCCTCTAGCGATTGCTATCAAGACAAAAGAAAATAGTGGGGGAAGGGGAGGGGCACTTCTGAAGGTTGCTAGGTTTCACCTCCCTTCGTTTTTTTGAAAAGTCCTGTTATACAACGTCTTTGGCATTCTCAGTGGAAAGGAAGTTCTTTCTATCGAAGCAAAGAGACCTTTTTTGTGTTAGCATGTTGGCAATCAACCAATGAACTCCAGTTTTGAATCGGTTGCCACTACTGTTTTTAAAGCTTTTTATATTTCCTCTGAGACAACCATCCCATTATTGATAATAATAAAAAAAAAAGATAGCAGAGGAGCCGTAAAACTCCAAAGTCGAAAGGAGTCAGTTATCAGCACCAATTCAAAATTGGATGACTGGTTCAGAAGCCCCAAACGAGGAGTTCGGAAATTCTCTGCAGAAGAACAATATTGCATTCAGCTGGAAAGTACATTTCTGCTCCACCAAATAGCTGGCTGGCTCCACGATACTTCAGGCTCTATCTTGAGCACTCTCTACAATCCAGCAGCTGGCACAGCATGAACCTATGGCAGTCATCTACAGCAGAAAATTGCCCCCCCCTCCAAAATACTAACCTCAAAATAAAATACTTCATCAAACTGTGGATTGTTTGTCTTCTTTTTAACTTTAGTTTTTTTGACTTCAGATCTGCAAGAAAAAAAAAGGGCAAGGCAGAAATGTTATCCAAAATAGGATAAGCTGAAAGGGTCAGGCCTGGTGTTAAGAGTTATCTTAAAAGTGGCTTTTTTGGTTATTTCATCTCCCTAAGCTTCTTGCAGGATGAGACAGGAAGCAGACTTTTAGCTTGTCCATATCTCTTAGTGCATTTAAAAAGAAACAATTAATTGAGGACATACATATGTACATTCTACCTTTCCTTTAGAAGTTCAAAGAAACTCTATGAGTTTTTGTTGCTGAGAGTGGACTTAAATTTCCATCTCTCTGGTTCTAGTCCAACACTTTCTAAGCTCTCATCAACAAAATGTAAGCATTTTAATTATCTTGTGTTGATTTTTTTTCTCATTTTCTTAAAACTTTATAAAGTGATTTATAAAGAAGATAACTTATTCCATGCTCTTAAAAAGTGTTACAGGTCATAATTAGCTCTTTGAACTATGCCCAGACCAGTAGTGAGTGGACTTCTTAAAATATAATCACATGATCTGGGGCAACAGGAGCCTGGATAGCTCTGCAGACAAGGCACTGTAATTTAACACCAGCTGTCCGCAATTCAAGTAAGTTCGAATCTTGCCAGGCTCAAGGTTGACTCAGCCTTCCATCCTTTCTAAGGTAAGTAAATTGAGGATCCAGTTTGTGGGGGCAATAAGCTGACTTTGTATAAAATATACAAAAGTATGAAGGCTATTGCTTAACGCACTGTAAGCCGCCCTGAGTCTCCGGAGAAGGGCGGCATATAAATCAAATTAAAAAAAAAAAAACAGCATCAGTAGATGTTATCACAATAAAATCGGATTCTCCATAAAGCAAAGTAGGAATTTAATATTAAGTCACAAATTCTTAAAGACAGTTTCAATTTTTACTTATTTCACAGGATTCTTCACTTAACTTTAACCAGATCGGAAAAAAATGAATAAGCAATAAATGTTACTAACCTGTATGGTCCTGCTAATGTAACTGTTGCGTAAGGATCACACTGGCCATTCACAATCGGAAGTCCTTGGCATTCTAGAACTCTAAACAAAAAGACAACTATCACATAGAATATCAGAACAGGAAATGCAGCAAAAGGTGCTCTTCCAAATTTTTGTTTCACTTCAAAAATGCAGAATACCACAAATTGCCATATGGATTGACCTTTTGTTATGGCGATGTCTGCAGCTTAAAAAAAAATCTCAAAATGGCAGCTTCAATAGTATTGACTGAAGCTCTGCCATGTTTTATGTATGCTCCATGTTCACATTTATTAAAAACTAAAAGTTGGTTGCAGGAATTTGATATGTCTAGTCTAGTAAAAAGGACTAGGGGTGACATGATAGCAGTGTTCCAATATTTGACGGGCTCCCAAAAAGAAGAGGGGGTCATCCAGGAGTGAAATCCAGCAGGTTCTGGCTGGTCCCAAAGTGGGGTGGGAATAGAGATTTTGCAATATCCTTCCCCCAGGAGTGGGGAGGAAATGGGGATTTTGCAGTATCCTTCCCCTGCCACGCCCACCGAGCCACACCACGCCCACAGAACCGGTAGTAAAAAAAAATGAATTTCACAACTGGGGTCATCCTATTTTTCAAAGCACTAGAAGACAAGACAAGAAAGAAAGAAAGGATGGAAACTAATCAAGGAGAAAACCAGCTTAGAACTAAGGAGACATTTCCTGACAGCAAGAACAATTATCCAGTGGAATGGCTTGCCTTCAGAAGGCAAGTGTTGGGTGCTCCAACACTGGAAATTTTTAAGAAGAGATTGGATAACCACTTTGTCTGGAATGGTATAGGGCCATTATGGCAAAATGTAATAGAGGTAGAATAATAATCAGATAAAATGAATTTTTATAACCATACTTTTTAAAAAAAAAATGGGTTTAAGATGTTCTTCAAGATATATTGCAGAACAAAAGACATTAGATACTTTCTGCACTGTAGTCTTCAGTCAAATGTCAGGAGAACAGAGAACCAAATTCAACATGCATCTGGATAGAAAGCCAAAAGAGAATCACTCTGCACAGCCATACAATTATTCATTCATGTGGAAATCTATAAATGGTCATGTAATTAATGTCAACTCTATGGCCCTTAAAAGGGGACAACAATCTATTGGCTTTGAGCTCAAGAAAGGCAAGTTATGAGCTCAATCTTGCCTAACAATTATGAGGCTCTGGTATTTAATTAAGAAAAGGTTTGTTTTTTTCTCTTTCTCTTTTCATTTTTACTAATCTCTGAAATATAACTAACATAAAAATCTGATTGAATTCATTCCATCATTTCTTCCTCTCATTAGAGGAACTTTAAAGCTGCAAATAGGTTTTTATATTCCACCAAAGGTTTAAAATACAATACATCCCGACAACTATAATACGGATTTCTTTCTTAAATGTTTTACTTGTTCTGATGCACTTCCTGACTCACTGCATTCCAGGCTCACACTCTCTGAATAGAGTGGCATTTAAGAAAAACTATTAGGAGGAAGCAAGGGAGGGAGGAACAGGAGAGAGAGCGTGGGTATCATTCTGTCCTTATTCATGGTGTGGAATTTTCTTTGCAACAACACTCTGCTCCCACCTACATGCGAAGCAGCCACACAGCTGTAGCATCCTTGCTGGTAGGGAAACAGAAGATAACTCATGTGCCTCATGGGCGCTACAGCAAGGCAGAATGAAATCAATAGATTACAGAATCGGAGGAATCAAATAATGGTCTCTCCAGAGACTATTTTGCCACTGTATAATAGGCTCTTCAGCAAATCTCTAATGTTTCCACACATTAGCAAAAAGAACTCCATCCAAGAAACCAGTTCTGCTTCCTAATCAGACTCATTTTCTATTAACCCCAAATCTGTTGAAGAACCATCAGGTACTTATTTTATTTGCAAGTTTGTAATAAATAAGTAGAACTTGGTGGTCTTTCTTGACTAAACTCTATTAAATTACAACTGCTACCTCCTAACCCGGATGCTGCCTAAGGTTAATGACAGTTGAGATCATTCTCAAAGCCATGTTCTTATGTTCTCCTGTCCTTCATTTAAGGAAGATATTATCAGTTTTACTGGCCTCACAGCCTGCCATTATTGTGCTTCAGTAACGAGGCTTGGTGATGTTGCTATCCTCATACAATGTTGAGTAGTTTTAGATCAGCAATGGTGGGCTTCCAATCATTCTTTCAACCAGCATCATAGATGAGTGACAAAAGAAACACCAACCTCTCCACTGTATATATCATCAAATGGAATTGGGGGTTGAAGCACTAATTTTTGGGAGGAAAGGAGATTGTTTGACAGGTATATCAATCAATTTTCCATTTCTCTGATCATTTAATTCTCCATTTAAACTGCAAGTGATTGAAAGAGCTGATTTGAAATACAAAGCTGAGATGCCTGAACCAGAGACCCCGCCCCCCCTCTTGTGTTTGTATGTCTCACATGCTTTCCCTTTTTTGGGATCTCCCAAGTAGCAGGACTCCTGGGTGACAGAGCTATCAATGTCCTGTTCTGCAATGTAAAGAGAAAAAGACTAGTTGTCCACTCTTTTTTACAGCCAAATCCAAAATGGCCCTGTAGGCACAACATCCAGCAGCTAGATGAGGAGGGGGCATTTCCTCCACAATCTAGTTGGAGCAACTGGAATTGTAGAGATCCCTTCCCCAATCAAGTCATCTCTGGGCTTTTCCCTGTAATAACCTAGATTGTAGGCAAGTTGACAAGTTTTCTGTTGGGAGAAGAACAAAAATATAATTTCCAAACTAGAACAATAAAGGTTGGTTCTAAGCTGTCACTATGAGGATATGTCCCTTGAAAACAGCTAGTCTTCATGCCAAGGGAAGCAAAATATGAGAATAACAAACTGGAGGAAGCTGATTTAATGCCTGGCTTTGGCATTAGTCCACTGAGATCATGAAGTTTCTAGTATTTGACTACTAGAAACTGACCAGCTGCTGGAAAAGGAAGTATTGCTTCACAAGAATTTTAGCTCTGACAGAAATCACCATATGCTGTCCCAAACAGATCCTACCTGGAGTGAAAAAAAATCCATCGTAATTTCTGTAGTGATGCTTGTTTTATTCCAGTCTTTCCCACCTCCTCTGGAAATACCAGTTTGAGAACAATATTCTCAAATTTCTTGTGAATCAAGAAAGTCTAGTTGTCCCTCTTTCATCCAATTTCTCAGGCTCTCCTGACCAACTCAGCAAATTAAACACAGGCATCCAGACTTTACATAGGTCAATTAATTTTCTGGGCTAGGACTTCCAAAAGTCTCACAGTCACAGTTTGGTTAGTTAAGAATCTTCATTGCCAACAAGCATGAAACTAAACAAAACAGGTGACTGTCCACTGCCAGTGTCAAGGTGCAAGTGACTCTTATATCCACAGTAGTTCAAACTCATAGCAATTTCCTTCTGCCCTTTCCACAAATTACAGGAACCGGTAGTCCTCGAGTTACAAATGTAATGGAGCCTGTCAATTACATTTGTAACCCGAGAATTCGTAGGAGTGAATCATGTAACTTGAATGTGATCACTCCCTGCTTTCGTCCACGCATTCACTAATCAAATGCATAGGTCGTTAAGTGCACATGAGGAATCTCAGGGTGGTGAAGGCCATGGGGGGCCTAGTGCAGAGACAACACCACTGCATCCAGCACCAAAGGCCTCCCCCCACCCATTGAGAGACCTTATTTTCCTCTTTCCACCCCTTCGGGTCCCAAGCTGCTTTGGCCTTGCCTCCCCACCCCATCACCGACTACTAATTTACCTTTGGTGCCACATTTGAGAGCCCCGCACTTCCCCTGGCCTTGGGTGCCGGAGTCCTTGTCCAGCCAAGCAGAGAAGCACCGAACTGGTCTCACCCCTTCCCCACTGAGCGCGGCCTTGCCCAACCACTTGCTGGAGTGCTGAACCTGCCTGGGTTTCACAAATTGTGCCACTGAAGAGCTGGAGAACATGGCGTGCAACCATCCCACTCCCCTCACTTGCCAAAAACACTCCTCCAAATTGTAAGAGGGGTCCTAAACAATCCTACTCTCCAGTTTGGTTGTGTTTCTCTGCCGCTGTGGAGCTGGCGAGTTTGGCGCACCACTCATCTCCCTTCGCTGGCCCAAAGCATTCCTTTGCTAAATTGCAAAAGGGGCTCCTAAACAAGCCTGCTTTCCAGCTCTGTTGCATTTCTCTGCCACCACGGAGCTGGTGAACTTGGCACTCCACCGCCCAGCTCCCCTTGCTTCATACCACTTGCTCCTGTTTGGACATGAGCAGGAAGAAAGCACCTAGAGGAAGCTGGTTGCCCTGTCTAGCTTCTAGATAGGAAGGAATGAGACTTGCTGGCTCAGTTCTTCATCTCCTCTCCACGGTCTTGCTGCAAGATCTCCTAAATGGAGACTTTGCACAGGTGCAAAGCGCAACAATGTCTTTGCAGCTTTGCATAGCACAGGTTGGTGGAACCAGCTCACCCCTTGTTGCAAGCATGACTCCACCGGTCTGGAATCCCATTCCCGGCCTCTCCCTCTAACCTGGAACCAGAGGCAACCCGGGGAGGGTGGGAGGCTGACCTCAAATGTCTGGGTGAAGCTGCCCTTTGCGTTTCGTTGCCTTGTAACTGTTAGACAAGCAAATACCAGGTAATCCTGGTTCCGCTCCAAGCAAGAATGGAACAAGGAGTATCTTCCATTGCCTAACTGCTGCTCTTGGCTATGCCACTTAAAAAACGGAGCCATCCTTCCCCACAACCAAGCAGGGAGTCCAGTTCTTGAAAAGACCATTGTTATGTCTGAAAGCCTCGCTGGCTCACTGGAACAATTAATTGATTAATCCTATAGCATCGAATCAAAGTGCTCATACCAGGCATTTTAATCAGGGACCGGAGCTTTTCTCTGGGAAACAGTGTTAGACAAATTGTAGTAGACCAAACAGCTCTGTCCCTACTTTGGGACAGATTAAAAAGCTTTCCCACAAGATAAACCTTGGCTTCCTGAAAGTCTACAGAAGTTAGCTCCTAAACAAACCTCTTTTCCAGCTCTGTCGCGTTTCTCCCT